TTTAGCAAACTCTAAAATACCCCAATAAGTTAACAACTAATGAATTACTGTTCAGGACCTCAAGTAATCACAGATAACACAAGAAAACCAGTATCTGACTAAGATTATTCACCTATTTAGGCATCAGGGCACCTAATGTTAGGAGTTATTTATAAGCATACATCACACCATAGAATATGATATAGGGGTAAAGGAGAACAAAAATTTACATGATTACAAAGATGTAATCGTGTAAATCAAGATTAATTAAGGCACAGCGATAGTAGAGTTATATCCTTGGTACTTTTTTTATTAAATGAAGAACAATTAAATGCTAATTTTAATGCTGAGCAATTTATTTGGGGTTTTTCTCCTTTCTGTTTTGATTTCCAGAAGATTCAAAAGTTGAAATCATTATTAGCAAAGAATTCCCTAGAGTGGTCCAAGGTAGATTCATTTATAGTTCCTGTTTTCTTCGGAATATAGAATAAGATAATTATACCCATGAGACAGTTTCTGATGATGAATATACATCAGGCCAAGGGAAAACACTGCAGGAATACTTTGTCCACCCAACACAGATGCCATCTCACCCATCTACCGAGAAGACTAAAAAAGACTTATATCTAAGAGAGTATACTGAGTTTAGTAAGTTATCTCATGCTCTACATTCTATTTTTAATTAAAATATTTCAGCTATCTGTTCATATATGTCCATGACACTTAGAGATGTAAATGGCTTATTTAACTTCTGTCACTTTCAAAAAGCAGTTCACACTTGCTTTCCTTATCTTGTATCCTTTCTGAATGTTTTCAGTATCTTTAATAGCAGAGCACACACAACCCAGCACCTGCTTCAGAGAGGCTTTTATGTCTATGTAAGAGGATCACAGTTCTTTCATGGCTACTTGAACTTCCAAATATCATTTTTCAAATTGATCCTCATATTTAAGACAATGATTTTTATGTCATCATGAGCATTGCATAGGAGGACATTTTGTATACTGCCAAAAATGAAAAGAATTACCTATTGAATAAAAAGGTACACTATGTCACAAACAATTAAAACTCATGCCTGATAATGAAGTCCTTACAAGCTAGTCGAAGAAACTTGGACTTTCTTCTTATGTATCTAATGCAATGATTATGTGACAATATTAAATCTTCTGAGGACAAGTTTCATCTTGCAAAAATGTAAGTATAGAGAATCTCATAGTTCAGAGGGTTTTAGAAACATAACTATGCAAGGGCATCATATATTGCAGGGGCTAAAAATAAACACTGCTTATTTTAGTTGTCCTAAAAGAGCAGTATGATTTGGTTCCTTTCCTAATTTTTCTGTTTCACTAGTTTCAGAAGGAATATTGTCCTTTTTTGTATGAAATCACCTTGCATAATAGGTAAGAATTCAAATAAGCCATAATGTCCTATTGCCTTTTGTGGTCCTTTTAAAATGTTGAGACTCTACCTATGAAGAAACAAGAAAGGGTAAAACTGTTAAGCACTGGAGAGCAAGCAATATATCTGTGTATCCTACATGGCTGCTGAGTGTTGTAGGTCAATTTACACAAATAAATATTTTAGTAGTAGTATTTCAAAAGTACTTTTAAAAAGCTCATTGTATATCTTTCATTTACATCAAGTACAGAAAAGTTTGTCAATAGGTTTTTGAAATAAAATTTAAAAATTCTTGAAACGTAGCAAGGTGAAGTAAACCTTATTCTCTGATGACTAAGACTCTTTGGCATGTGTGCTGGTTCGTTTTCATAACTCATGCATTAGACTAAATGTCTTATTCACAGTTGAAATGAATGTAGAAATATTCTTCAGCTGAAGTCAATACATAACAGTTTAAGATTTCAAATAAATTGGAGAATTAAATAATCTTGGTAACTCTGCTAATTTTCCAAAATAGTTTGGTTAATATTGATAGAGTAATGCTTGTGTACTGGTATACTATATGAACAATTACAAACTGATTTTAAAAATAGTATGATTTTCTGTTGGTGAAATATTTTCTAGCTGTATAAATAGTGGCCGTTTAGCAAATTCCTCTCTCAAACACAGTTGAAATCTTGATATTGCTCTTAGCTATCTTCTCTGCCACTTAATCAACAAGGTCAGAAATAGTCACTGCAAATTTCTCCTGGAAAAACTTGTACTGATAATTTGCATTTACAAAGTACTTTTAAGAAAAAGGCAAAGTTGTTCACATACTTCAGAAATCATAGATCTCTTATTGGGTTTTGTATTGGAAGAAATTATACAAATCTTTCTTATTATAATAGATTTATATATTTGTAGGTTGTAGGATCATTATTATGCATTCCCTTATACAAAGCAAATATATGTTTTGCCTGATTTATTTAGGAAAATTTTCTTTGTCGTCATTCTTAATCTGTGTTTCTAAGTGCTTACTATAAAGAGAGGGGAATATAGTGGTCACTGCAAGGTAAAAGTTTTCATTGTGCACCCCTTCTCCTAGGACTGCTGTGTAGACTTCATGTTATCAAAGAGAATAAATAGTACTGCCAGAATCTGAAATAATGCTGAGAGAGAAAAAGCAATGGCACCTTGTCATTTTACCATCCCTTTTAAGACAAATTTTGAATTCAGTAAAGATCAATATAAACAACATCATTGTGCCCTTAAAGAGGAATCATTTTTAATAAATTTGAAAATTTAATTTCATTCAGCACTATAAGTTAAGATGTATTTGGTTCACATATATATGTGATTTATCCCATTTTAGAAATATATATATATATAATATATACAAATAGAGAAATAAAATAATAGAAAGGTTGATAGTTGTGAGATGGTAATATTTCAAACCCAAGGCATTTACCAGTATTCATTCATATAAGTGACATAAACATGATCTATGTATAAGCTTGAGTTATAAAAGCATCTTAGAGTTCTTGAAGTCAGAATCTTCAAGTTGCCTTTGAATTTGCTTAATATCTTTCTAAATGAACTACACTGATTTTAGTCCAGTCAACTTAGTTTGCTATACTAAATTAATTGTGCAGTAAGTTTTGATTAATGGTGAATTGTGTGGTTATTTTGTATTCAACTCGTTTTGCAATGATGAGTATTATAAGGCCTGCATATACTTTCTCTTCTAAAGGTTATTCCACTGTGTGTTTTTAAAAGGATAAGCTAAAATTTAGATTGGTAACATCCTATAGAACATGTGTAACTGAGTATTGAAAATTTTTTCTACATCATAGAGGAAAAATATAATTTAGCATATCATTTGCACTGGATTACAACATATATTATTTTTGTAATTAACCAAAGTCCCCTCTTTTTGGTTTCCTATCACCTCTCCTTCATTTTATTCATTTATTTGTATTATATGCTTCTCATAAAAGAGAATCATGCAATATTTATCTTTCTGCCCTACTTACTTTTCTCAGCATGATGGTCTCAAGTTTCACTCATTTTCCTGAAAATGACACAATTTCATTCTTTTTTCTGGAGAAATAATATTCCATTACGTATATACATCACAACTGTTTTGTTCATCTACCTATTGTGAACGTCTTATCGGTTTCAGCAGTTTAACCATTGCAAACTGCTGCATTATAAAGATGGGTATATATGTATTGGTATATTAGAATGTCTAACTCCAGGAATATAACTAGCACAGGTATAGTTGTGTCAAATGGAATTCCCATGTTTACCTTTTGAGAAGAACTGTATTCATACTGACTTCGATATTTCTTGTGCTCATTTGTATTTCCACCAACCATGTAGGAGAGTTTATTTCACCTTACTTCCTCTCCAACATTCGTTGCTTTTTGGTTCTTGATGACAGCCATTCTGACTTAGATAAGACAGACAGAACTTTTTTATCTGTGCTACAGTTTGTGTCTGGATATCCCCTCAAAATCTCATGCAGTCATGGGTGAGGGCTTCTAGAATTTGTGATTGATTTAAGGTCCAGTAGTGTGATTATGGATGGATATGAGTGCTACATGCACACTAAGGTGGATGTGGCATACAAACAGTATAAAGTACAGAAAGAGTCTTCTCTCTTGCACTACTCATTATTTGGTCTTGTTGCCTTTGCTTTTTTCTGCTGCCATGAACTATTACCCCTCTGTCATGCTGTTCTGCGATGGAATCAACTGACTCTGGACTGAAACTTCCACAAACTATGAGATAAATAAACTTTTCCTTCCTTAATTTTGAGCATCAGGTGTTTTGTCTAGCAATGAGAGAAAAACTAACACAATCCGCATTTATCTAATGACTATGCAAGAACATTTTGTCATGTACTTACCACTAGACAATACATTCCAAGTCCTCTGTGTTTACCTGAAACTGTAAAGAGTATGGAATCTTACATAGTATATAAGATTGCTTGCTAGTAAATGTGTATGTATGATGTGGTTAAACAAACAAACTAGGCTAAGAAACAAATTAGCAATAACTAAAATTACAAGGAAACAAGCTAAACAATATATTATAACAAAAGTTACGTAAATATGATGTCTCTCCCTTGAAGGACTAAAGACAAATGGTAACAGTTACAGAGTACGTTTAATTACTGGCAGTTGAAACAATGAAACCAGAATTGTATGTAAAAGGGACTCTTGTAATTGAGCTAATTCTAATTATTTGGTGTGATGGCTCTTGTTGCTCCACTCAGCTTCTTTTCTAGGATCAGTGGACGGAGGCTGGATTCCAAGTGTCAATCTTACTTTAGCCTTACTTCTTGAAGTACTATTTTTTTTTTACTATCATCTTGTGAGGTCGAATGTTCAATAAATCGCTTTCATAGAAAACTTACCTTAGTCTCTGCTTCTTGGAAACTCAATCTTGGACATTTTATTTCAATTGCAGGTACAAAACCATATGTGCTTGATTAAGATTTCTCAACACAGTAATAATTTTATTCCTTGGTGTAGATGCTAAATGTGAATGTGAGTACTAAAGTGTAAAAATTATCTAATTTTTCTCATTCTAAATAACTAGCAATCTATCCTCTCTAGGTTATTTCAGAGAAAACAATGAACAAGATGGTTGGAGGAAATCAGTCTATGGTGACAGAATTTGTGCTTCTGGGACTTTGCCACTCTTGGAAAATTCAAGTGTTACTCTCTGTAATATTTTTGATGCTTTACTTGTTCATCATACCTGGCAATATTGTCATTGTGACTTTAATCATCACTGACACCCATCTGCATTCCCCCATGTACTTCTTGTTGGCAAATCTGTCCTTTGTTGATATGTGGCTTTCCTCAATCACTACTCCTAAAATGATCACGGACCTTCTCAGAGTGAACAAGACCATTTCTTTTGGAGGATGCATGTCCCAGGTATTCTTTTCTCAGTTCATTGCAGCTCTTGAAATGGTTCTGCTGGTGGTAATGGCCTATGACCGCTATGTGGCCATCTGCAAACCACTGCACTACTCCACTATTATGAGCCTGCAAAGGTGCATTGGGCTGGTGGTGACTGCCTGGACAGCTGGTCTTGTGCATGCTATGAGTCAAGTGGTTTTTATTGTAAAGCTTCCTTTCTGTGGTCCCAGAGAAATAGATAGTTTCTTCTGTGACAGACCACTGATAATGAAGTTAGCCTGCATAAATTCTTATAATTTGGAAATTTTCATGAATGTGAATTGTGGCTTTGTGGCCCTAACTTCCTTTGTTCTCTTGCTGATATCCTACACACATATTCTTATTACTGTCTGCAAAAGCCCTAAAACTGGTGCAAACAAGGCACTGTCCACCTGCACTGCCCACATCACAGTTGTGGTGCTGTTTTTTGGGCCCTGCATCTTTCTGTATGTGTGGCCACTCAGCCTCACCTGGATAGACAAATTTCTTGCTGTGTTTTACTCTGTTTTCACACCTCTCTTAAATCCGGTCATTTATACACTAAGAAATAATGAAATGAAAAGTTCTATGCAGAGATATAGAAAATACTATGTGGATTCTATACGAAGTGTTTTATGCCTAGAAACCTAGTGATCAGGCAATTAGTGATCAGGAGTAAGTCTTACTCCTTCAACTTTGCTAAATTACATCTATATTTATTTTATTAAAAACATATATTTATGACAGTAGTGAGCACCTTACTGAATTTTTTATGAAATTTTTCTCCAAATCCAAAAGAAAAAGTGTTTCTGTACATTGGAACTTCCTTTGATATTTTCACCCATGCCTTATTTTAAAAAATATAATAATTATTTTTTCTCAACCTAACACTTTACCTAAGTACTAGTATAAAAGAAAATCAAAGAAAAAATGAAAAGGAGGTGATAAATTAGACAGAAAATAATAGTCCTCATTAATTTTGCTTGAATTTTATTGACTCAATCATAAAAAGTCTATTTAAAAATTATGTTTTTAGAAAATGATTTTAATCCAATCAAAAGAAATTTCCTGTGGCTACTTTAAAATAGCCAACTATATTCTTTGTAAATAATAGTACCAAAAATAAAGTCACTTATATCAAGAAAATGTTGCTTATTCAGGAGGATATATCTATTTAAATATGTTCATCCTTAGTGTAACAGAGCTTAAAAACATTTGAAAAAATAAGATACAATTTCCTGGAGAAAGAGACAAAAATTTGTAATCAGATGTTTCAACATTCCTGTCAATAACTAAGAGATGACATAGTAAAAATTTAACAAGATTGAAATGAAGAACACCATGAACCAATTAGAAGTAACCAATATTATGGAACACTTTAATCAGAAACATCAACAAAGATACTATTCATTTTCAGGGGCAAACATAACATATCCCGAATAGAACTATATTCTGGTATATAAAAAGAGTCTTGATAACCTTGAAAATATATAGATCACATACGAATGTATACATATATGTTCATCACAGCCTTATTTATAAAGGCCAAAATATGGCAGCAACATAATGTTGCTCATCAGATAAATCAATAATCAAATTAAATAAAATAGAATATTATGCAGTAATAAATAAATGTACTCTTCATCAACAGAACATAATATATATGAGAGGAATGATACATTAAGTGATCAATGCTAATCCAGAAAGATATGTAATACTTGATACTATTATATGAAGGTATATTTATATATTTACAGAAAATGTAAACTAATGTTATAATGTAAACTGTAAGAAAAATGTAAACTATAAGAAAATGTGAACTAATAAAATAGTGATAAGACACAAATAATAGTTGAGGGGAGGATGCTTGAGGGACTGGAAGGGGGCTTAAAGGGCAACAAATCTTTGAGGGCTGAGGTAAAAACACATTCTAGCAGCTTATTGTGTTGGTTTTCATAATTTTATTCATATGTAAGTCAAAATTTTAAAATTAAACATTTGAAATATGGGCAGATTAATGTGTATCAATTATAAGATAAAAATTTATTTTAGAAAGTAAAAGATCACAATACAAGTTATTTAAACTGACTTCTGCATTAAATTTTTAAAAATTAAGGAAATTAATAATTTGACAGCTGGTGAATAACGGCATATTTCATTATGCATATTGTTTCTTGTTTTACTGAGAGATTTATTTCTGATCTGATTTGCTTTAAAGCTTTATAGATTTGTTTCTTTACTTAAATTTCTATCATTTCAGAAAATTTAGGTGTGTGACTTACACTTTCTTCCATGCTTATGTCTGCTGGATTTTATATAATGGGCTGGAGGTTTGAGATAGCATTTTACTTGTTTGTTTTGTCACTTTTCCGTTTTCCTCTGCAACTGACTGCAAAGTCTCAGTTTTTTTCCTGAGTTGGTGTTGGCTGTCTGTACAGGAGGGAGTCTTCCCAACTGAGTGAGGATCATCAAATGGGCCTTTCCTAGGCCTGTGGGGCATGCCAAGCCTCCTTGGATGGAGTTTGCTGGACAGGTCCTGGGTGGCACCCCAACAATACCTAGTTGATTGAGGTCACTTGATGGGAATTTAGTAGGCCCTGCATGGACACTAAGGCTTCCCAGCTAGGTGGAATTCACTGGATGGACCTTTGCCATGGCTGGCATGGCACACTGAGGCTCCCTGACTGGAAGGATTTCATTGAGCAGATGTCTACCAGGTCCCAAACAGCATATCAAGGCTCCCTGGCTGGGTGGAGTTCACTGGGTAAACTACTACCAGACCTGTTGTAGAGCTCTGAAGCTCCTTAGCTGGCTGGGGTCATGGGGTGCAGCTTCACCAGGCACCGTGCAGGCACCCAGGCTCCCTGACTACTTGGAGTTAAGAGGTGGAGCTTTAGCAGGTGTTATTGTGGGCACTGAGGCTCCCCTATTATGTGCAGCTCACTGCAAAGACCTCTACCAGGTCCCACAGAGGGTAATGAGGCTCCTTGGCTGGGTGGAATTCACTGGGCAGGCTTTGTTACAGCACACAAGTGCTTCAATGCTGATTATAGTTTCAGGGTAAATCACTACCAGACCTGTGTGGTTCTCTGATGCTCCCTGACTGATTGGGGTAAGGGGAGCAAACTTTTTCAAGCCATAACATATATCATCTGGAGTCCAGCACCCAATCCAGTCCTTCTTCCTAGCAGAAACATCCCAAGCCTGATCTTTACCTGTAGGATTTCTACCAAGATTCTGGACAATGACCAGAATCTTACAAACAGAATAGAGTAAGGCATTCCAACACTATTCTTTCAAGCAACATCTCTGAACCTTTCCCAACTTCCCAGAGCCATTTCCAAAGGCTCATGAATCACATGATCAGGTATAGTCACAGCAAAGATCCCACTCCTGTGGTTCTAACTTCTGTCTTGGTTACATTTCTCTTGTTGCTGGGATAAAACACCTAATGCCCAAATTTAAGGAATATAAGGTTTATTTAGCTCACAGTTTGTGGAGGTTTCAGTCCATAATCAGCAGGCTGCAAAGCAGAGTGGCATTGAACAGGGGCAACTTTTCAAGAAAGTAGAAGACAGTAATATCAGCAGGAGCAAATTGGGGGGAGAACAAACCTCATTTCTTACCTCATATTGTCAGGAGGCTGCCATCCACTAGGATGGATATAGCACTCTCATCATCTCCTTGCCATCTTCCTTTACAAAGTAAGGATCCTGGCTCCCTGCTGAGTGAGTCACTTAGTAAAGCTTCTAAATTTCTCAAGTTGACAAAATTTTACAGGAGCAAAGTAAGGAACTGTATTGAAACTTGTAACTCCAATGTTTCCTACTTGTACTAATATTATTCTGAAACAGTAGCCTAAATATAATATAATATTAGTATAATAATATACTAATATTATATTATTGATATATATATAGTTATAGATATATATAAAGATATAGATATATATAAAGTTATAGATATAATATAATATCAGTATAATAAAAAGATGGTATAATAAGCATAATGTAATTGTGAACTAAAGAAACCAGAGATTATTCTATTAGCAAGCAAAACTGGCTTCAAAACAAAAATATTACCCGAGATAAAAATTACTTCTCATTGATGTAAAACCTAATAAATTAAATGTAAATGTTATAATTACTTACATTCCTAACAAAAGATTTAAAATATTTGAAATGAAAGTTGGTGGAAATACAAGAAGCAATAGAAGAAATGCATAATGAAAGACTTCAATAGCAGACTGAATAATTCACAGAATATTTACCAAGCAAGACAATAATGTGTGTTATAAAGACTCAATAAATTTAAAATATTCATCACATAGAGATTTGTAACCAAATGCATATATGTGCTTAACAAATTTTTGAAACAGCCCAAAACAGATAACTATTTAAATTCTCTCAGCAGATGAAGAGATAATTAAACTATGATACAAAAATATTGTAGAACGCTACTCAGAAATAAAAAGTGAAAACAGCAATAGCATAAAAATCAAGATAAATGTGAGAGAAAAAAAGGCCAGAATAAGAAAGCATCAAACTACTTCATGCTTTTTATATAAACTGTACAAAATGTAGGTTCATAAATAAGAGTAGAATCTTCTCAAAAAAGGTAAATATATCATATGGCACATACTCACGTTGATAGCAGTATAATTTATAAGAGCTAAAATTTGGAAATAGTTTATATGCCAATCAACAGAGGAATGGATAAAGAAAATATAGTAATTATATCCAAAGTAGTACTACACCACAGAGGATAGATCAGTTAATTGTAAAAAAAAAAAAAGATGCATCTTGAGACCAAAATGTAAAGTCAAATAAATCAGACACAATGCTATCACTTTCATTTATTTGAAAAAATAATATATATATATATATATATATATATATATATATATATAATGTGAAATAAAAGACACAGAGTTGGAAATATACTCACTGCCTCACTGCCTGTCTGTCAGGCTTGAGGTCATGAGTTCCATTACAGTTACTAAATAAAGAAAAAGAAAAAAGAAAGATAGATAATAGGGAAAAGGGATATTAAAAGTTATCATAGTGTATGTTTCTAATGCTGCTTTCTAGTTTTGTGCTCATGTGCTATGAGATCTCAACTTGCAGGATTTCCATTTTTTTGAAAATGTTAAACTATTAATTATCGTTACAATTTTATTAGAAAGAAAGATTGATTAGTGGCTGCCTGGAAGAGCCAGATATGTAGGAAGATGATGAGGAGGAGTTACTAAGAGGCAAGCAGATAGTGGTTACTGTGGCACATGATCTCTAGTATTGCTATGGTGATCTTTTCATGGTTATGTATACAGTGTATGCCAAAACTTACCAAATTGTGCACTTCAAATACAGGAATCTTATTATATGACAATTTTACCCAAATAAGGTGTTTTAAGAAATCAGAGGTCAAAATAAATGTATTTTAAACTGACATAAATATACTATTTTTAAACAATCTTTAAACTATCATAATGGTTTGACACCCAATGTATAACTGTCACATTGTTAGATAGAAACAGACAATACCAAACAAGTCAAGTGACCAAGAACACCTGCTTATTCATACCATGTATAAATCACCATCACCATCTATATCAGGATGCTTGGAGGGTGACCATATGTCACGTTGGTATA